AGAAGTCAACTGTATAAAATTAAAAAAAAACAACAACACGACCTTAAGAAAAAAAAAAAATTAAACTGGAAAGGAGACATTCAAGCACATTTTAGTAATCCTCATTTCTCTTATGCTTAACAGAGTCCTGAATCTTAATGGGAGCAATGAGGTGGCCCATAAGGACCTTTTGCTCTGGTGTGCAGAACAAGATGTACTAAGAGAATTGTCAAGTTCTTATAGAACTAAGGAACAGGAATAAATACCAAACAAAAAGAAAAATAGGAGACATGTGGGAGACTTTGGTTAGGGAAATTTAAGTTCAAATCACTGCTCTGTTTAGCACAGGGGTGTCAAACTGCTGGCCCGTGGGTCGAATGTGTCACGCCGAAACCGCGCCCACCCCATTGGCGGCAATGGGAAAAAAAGTTGTGACACGTGACCTTGCGAGTTGACACCCGTGGTTTAGCACCTCCAATCTGTTTGAGCCAGTTTCTCCACACTAGATTGTGAGGCAGCTAAAATGAAGGCAGAGATAAGAAAGGAGAAATGACAGCTGAGATAAGGCATCCCTGGAGAGGGGGGGCAGGGACTGTTTTCGTGGAAATTCCATGAAAAAAGCCCCAAATCTAGTTCAGCTGGACTATCCAAAATGCTTTTGCACAAGGCGAGGTTTTATACTCCTTGCAGACAGCTGGTCATTTGCATTCAGAGTGGTTGAGGCCACCTGGGGGCTTATCTGTATCCTCAGGGTCACCCGAGTGGTGCAAATGGGTGTGGAGCCTTCTTGGAACTGCTGTGTTGTAGACTGGAGATAGATGATGTTAGATCCCTCACCTACCCGTTGAGAGAGGGCTGTTCAATTTTGACACAGATGGCCTCTTTGGCCCCTCTTTCAAACCAGCGGTCCTCTCTGTCCAAAATGTGGATCCTGAAGACAAAGATAAACCTCCAGGTGGCCTCAATGACTTTCTAAAACAGGGGTGTTAAAACTGAGGCCTGCGGGCCAGACGCATTATGCACAGGCCACACCGGTTCCGCAAAGGCAAAAAAACCCCTGGGATATGTCACAATGTCACGTGACGCGATCAAGTTTGACACCCATGCTGTAAAAGAATGCAAATGACCAGCTGTCTGCAAGGAGTATAAATCCTTCCATTCCCCACCATCCAGTCAGAGCTGAAGAAGCTTCTTGGGTGAGAAGCGAAACGTCTTCAAAGAAAAACAACGAAGTCCAGTCACCTTGTGAGAAAGCATTTTTGGGACAACCATGACCTGGATGACTGAGAATCTCCAGACATTCAACCAGACTAGCTTTCCTCAATGCGATCTCTCTACATGGGGTGAACTATAAGGGTAGTTTTCAACTTACGAAACCACAGTTCAAAGTTAAGATGGCTCTGAAAAACATGATTTATGTCTTGTCCTGTAAGTTATGACCATCACATCACCCCTGCAGTCACAATTGTGATCTGGGCGCTTGGCAACTGGCTTGCGTTTTACTACTTCAGTTGTGGTATCCTACCTTCACACGATCACAAGTTACAAACATCGTAGCCAGTTTCCGACAAGCAAAGTCCATACGGATTTGTTGCTGGATTTGTTTGAAGCTGGATTTGTTGAACAACTGTGATATGCTGAATGACTACAGTAAACATTTGGTCCAGTCACATGACAGCTTGCTTAAAAAGCACACAAGAGACCAAAATTCTGGTCCCAATGTTGGTTGTAAGTCACGGACTATCTGTAGTTACTCCCTGTTCACTTACTACAATCTGGGGATTGATGTTTAGCACTATAATTGTCAATTATAATCTAAATAATTGTATTCTAGTTATGATTATTCAACCTTTCTTCCCTCGGGAGTAAAAGCCAAAGAAATGGGGAATTCTGGGTTTTGTAAGCCCGTCAACATCTGGATCACAGAAAAATACAAAAGATAGGAAGCTGCAAGGCAAATATATTTTATTTTATTGTTGAACATTAGAAAAGAATTCAACCATGGAAAATTAGGTTTTTATTTACTGCCAGGTCAGTGTAATTCCAGTCCATCTTACATTTTGAATAGTGATGGTCAATCTGACAACATCAGAAAAGAGATTAAAAAGGAACCGTTCTCCGTGCAGGTGCATTTGTGATCTTTCAATTCTCCTCTGGCTTGCAATTATATAGTGACACGTTAGGCCAGTGATGCCCAAACTGCAACCCAAAACCCACTTACGCATTGTCGAGTGCCGGGTGGGTGTGGCCCATTGGCTGGGTGTGGCCATTTGGGTGGGCGTGGCTGCTGTGGTAACGGCAGACTGGGTGGGACTAAAAAGTTCAATCAATCAATTCCAACTTTGCAAGATCTTTTTTTTTCCCCCGCAAGAAGTTGAAATTGACTGATTGAACCTCTCTTTTTTTTTGCACATGGCGGCGGAGACCTAAAGCGAAAAGGTTTTATAAAACCCAGCTGAAGGCCTAGGACTGGGGCGACGGCGTGCGTGCGCACAGAGAGGGCTCTGAGTGCCGCCTCTGGCACCCGTGCCATAGGTTCGCCATCACTGCGTTAGGCTGACCAATATGCTATTTGTTATTTCTTTGTGCCAATAGCCTTTACAGAAGAACACTGCACTAACAATGCTACTGCAACAATCCGATGCGATGCCATATAGGGAGTATTATTTCAGACTCACACTTCCTACTACATCGTATTTCAGATCCTCTGAATGCATTGCAGTTCTACACCAGCAAGCTGCTAAACATACAGACTTTGATCATTAGGGCCTGTGGTTGTTCCAGGCTGTCCTTTATTCATCCCAATTTCTTACCACGCATATGGCCCCACGTTTTGAAGATGTTTAGATCAGAAATTCCCACTATATTCACCGGAACGTCCTCCAAGAAAACACATAAGTTGCGATGAAAGAATGTCCTTAAAAGGAGGACACAGCAATGCAATCCTAAAACACGTAAAGAAATAGGTCTAGTTTAGGTGCTAAGGAGATGGGGGGGGGAAGGGAGGATAGTAGAAAGATAGATAAGATAGATAGATAAACAAACATTTTAACGTTTAACATTTTAATTCTTATATACTATTTTATATTTTGATGCCCCTCTGAAGGAGCTGGGCAGTTCAGAAATGCAAAATGTAAATAAAAAAAGGGAAGAAGGAAAAAGGGAAGGAAGGAAGGAAGAAAAAGAAAGAAAGGAAAGAAAGAAAGATTTTAACTGTAACATTTTAATTCTTACTGTTTCATATTTTGATGCCCCTCTGAAGGAGCTGGGCAGTTCAGAAATGCAAAATGTAAATAAAAAAATTAAAAATAAAAAAAGGAAAGAAGGAAAAAGGGAAGGAAGGAAAACATTTTAACTGTAACATTTTAATTCTTACTCTTTTATATTTTGATGTCCCTCTTTGAAGGAGCTGGGCAGTTCAGAAATGCAAAATGTAAAGAAATTAAAAATAAAAAAGAAGAAAACATGGAAGGAGGGAAAGAGACAAAGGGAAAGAGAAAGAAAGAAGGAAAGGAAAGAAAAAAGAAAGAAGGAAAGAAAAAGAAAGAAAAAAAGAAAAAAGGAAGGAAGGAAGGAAGGAAGGAAGGAAGGAAAGAAAGAAAGAAAGAAAGAAAGAAAGAAAGAAAGAAAGAAAGAAAGAAAGAAAGAAAGAAAGAAAGAAAGAAAGAAAGAAAGAAAGTTCTGTCTTGGAAATTCCCAGAATTGTCTAACAATTGCCCAAGGAACATCCTTGCTAGGAATTCTGGGCACTGTAGTTTCAAAACATCTGGATCTGAGGCTGGGGAAGGCTTCTCCCATTTCAACCTGCCCACCTGCCCACTTCCTGCTGCATTGCTGGACGTTTTTTTTCTTTTTTAAAAAAAATTACAATGGCGAGGTGCAGCATCAAATTCCATGAGATCAGTAACATCAGCTTCCATCTCTCGTCTCATTTTTCCACAAAACATTTCTGGGCAAATGAACGAAGATGTTACTACGCTGTGCTATCAAGACCCAAGGGTTTTCTTTTGCTCATATAGGTCCCTTTTTGACAAACATTTTGAACGTTTAAATCCCATTTGAAATTTTTTTTTTTTTAGTAATTTTGCACGTAAATGTGGTTCGCAAACCAACTTTTAAGAGTTTAGGGCAGCATCGAAACACTGGTGTTTCTTTTTATATGAAATCATCACTGGGCAGGGAGGGGGTTGAACCAGAAGGCCGCCAAGGTCCCTTCCACCCCTATGATTTTGGGGGAAAAAAATAATAATCTATCTATGAAATGTTTTTCTCCTAAGGCTCGGGAGTGCTTGTGTGCTCTCTTAAAAAGTAGCATTGGGGGAGCACGAAAATACTCCATTTGATTTGTGTCTTTAAATTTAATTACAATCACGTTTAGATAATAAGCTGGGCCGTGCAGCTTAATTTAGGGATTGATCGCCGAAAAACGACTTGGAGTGCCAATGTGGCATCTGCCTACAACGCAGCTATGTCTTTTCTCGCAACGAGGCAATCGCCTTCCAGCTGGCACAGGATCCTATGAAGATAAAAACAGCTTTAAGCAAGTACAGAGAACTGCTGCGTTCATGCTCTCAAACTTGGCCCTTTTATGACTGGTGGACTTCAACTCCCAGAATTCCTCAGCCAGGCATAAAAGGGCCAAGTTTGAAGAGCCCTGCCCAAAGACAATTAAAAATGGTCTCCCTCTCTTGGTCAGCTCAGATGTTTCTCCTGATTCGCCTAGATCAGGGGTAGGCAGCCTTGGCTCTTTTATGACTTGTGGACTTCAACTCCCAGAATTCCTGAGCCAACATGGCTCAGCTTGGAAACCTCTCCCTTTCCCCTCAGCATGGCTGGCTCAGGAATTCTGGGAGTTGAAGTCCACGAGTCATAAAAGGGCCAAGTTTGAAGACTCCTGCTCTTAAAAACACTCCGAACTTGGTATCTCTGCCACAGCCCCTTCACAATGACTTTCTAGTAAAATTTTCGACTCGTTTTCTCCTTTTGCCATATTTTTTTTCTTTAAAAAAATTCCTGGGTAATAAAACTTGGAACCTGTCAGCGACCATATAACAACACCGAAGGCTTTCAGGGATCATGTGTCTCTCTCCGGCCGTTAACAAATTTGAGCTTTGTCGTCTTTGAGGTTCAGAAAACATTTTCCTACAGTTAAATGAGGTAAAAAAACCAACAACGGCTACTCGGTGGCTAGGTGAGTTTTCTCATGTTCGTGCAGCTCTGATTTTCGGCTTTTCCCGTAGTACGCGTAGGTGTTCTTGTGGACCCGTTCGTGCAGGATCAGGTGTGGCCCGGACAGGAAGGATTTCCCACAGTGCAAACATTTGAACGTGTCTTGCCCTCGGTGGGCCATCTGGTGCACTTTGAGAGAGGGGTATGAGGTAAATCTGTCCCCGCAGGCTGTGCAGATGTACTTCTCCCCGGTGTGAGTTTTCTGGGGCTTAAGGCAGTCCGTCGGCTGAAGGTAGCATTTCTCTTGGTCGGCGCTGAGCCTCTCTTTGGGAATCCAGACAAAATGGTTCCCGCAGTGGGAGCAGACGTGGGAGTTCTGCCCGGCGTGCATTCTTTTTTTTTCTCCGCAGTGGGGGCAGATGTAGAGTTTCTCGGCCACGTGGCTTCTCTCGTGGGTCAAGAGATCCGAGCTACTGCTGAAGGTCTGGCCGCAATGCCAACATTTGTAATGCTTCTCCCCCAGGTCAGGGTTGTCGCACGCCTCAAGGTGGGAACTTTGGCTGAGGCCCCCTGCATCGTATTTCCCCCCGGTATGGAGGAAGGATGATTCGGCGGCATCTTGGAAAAACCCTTGTGAGACGCACAACTGCTCTGCTCCGGCCTCGTTTTTGTTTCTGTCCTGCTGCTCTGCTGCAGGTTGACTCTCATCGGGTTTACCTGGAGCCAGGAAGTAATTCTCCCTGGCAGATGTCAGCGATGTCCTCTGTAGCTCAGGCCAATCATCGGCTGCAGGGGGAGGAGGCAAAAAAGGAGACAATCTAGCTAGTACTCCAAGTTCATTTTAAAGATAAGAAACCTTGCATTACAAAACGGCATAATCCTTCCCGATCCACACTCGTTTCCCAGATCAGGGACATCTCCTGGCAATACAATACAGCAGTGGTGACGAACCTATGGCACGCGTGCCAGAGGCGGCACTCGGAGCTCTCTCTGTGGGCACACACACCGTTGCCCCAGCCCCGCCTCCTCCCATGGCCCCCTCCTCACCAGCAGCCCCCCCAGAGGAGAGTCACCCGTGGGTGCGGCCCACGGGAAGCAGCGCAGCCAAGGACAGGGCAGCGGGGACAGGACTCCGCCCTTGCGCCCCATCGCGCGCAGATGATGCTGCGGGGCACGGGTGGAGGGTGTGGCCACCATGGCACTGCTAGGCTGCCTGGATGATCTGTGGCGGGCCGTGGAGGTGGTGGGTGGCCCAGCGGGCAGGGCGGAGAAGGGACGGGCGTGGTGGGGTGGTTTTGAAGCATTCGGTCTCTAAAAGGTTCACCATCACTGCAATACAGTATCTTGTTTTCCCATGAGGCTTCCTACTTCTTGGGTAATGCCACCACAGCAGGAGTCAACCATCCTATTTTGTAGGATACCTAGTCTTACTTTCTCCATTTAACAATCTCTTAAAAGGTTTTAAGGCAGGGGTAGGCAACCTTGGCTCTTTTATGACTCGTGGACTTCAACTCCCAGAATTCCTGAGCCAGCCATGGCTCAGCTTGGAAACCTCTTCCTTTCCCCTCAGCGTGGCTGGCTCAGGAATTCTGGGAGTTGAAGTCCACGAGTCATAAAAGAGCCGAGGTTGCCTACCCCTGGTTTAAGGGGAGGAGCCATAACATAAACCATCTTAAAGTTGCAGAGGTTGAGAAACTCTGCACTAGAGAATGTTGAAGATGCTATCGCTGGTTGATATCGGCTACTGGAGACACACAGCGTAAGGCTCTTGTGCAGAAGAGGCCAAAAAGACCCCTAACATTTGATCTGTCAGGCGCTCAAAGTGACTTACCCAATGTGACTACATCCCCTCCAGTTTCCTGCTTGGCTTCTCTAGAAAGTTGGGCCTTCACCATTTCTGACAGAGCTTGGTTTCCTTTGGGGGGCTTTTCAGATTCCTCCTCCATGATCCCCATCATCTGGAGCAGCAAAGGGGAAACGGATGTTGAGACAAAGAGACAGAAGAGCAACGAAGATGCTGGAGGCTAAAGCATATAAGGAACGGCTGCTGGAATTGGGTATGTCTAGTTTAATGAAGAGAAGGATGAGGGGGGACATGATAGCCGTGTTCCAATATCTCAGGGGCTGCCACAAAGAAGAGGCAGTCAAGCTATTCTCCAAGGCGCCTGAAGGCAGGACAAGAAGCAACAGATGGAAACTGATCAAGGAGAGAAGCAACCTAGAACTAAGGAGAAACTTCCTGACAGTTAGAACAATTAACCAGTGGAACAACCTTCCTCCAGAAGCTGTGAATGCTCCAACACTGGAAGTTTTTAAGGAGACTGGACAACCATTTGTCTGAAATGACTAGATGACTTCTAAGGTCCCTTCCAACTTTATTATTATTCTTCTTATTAATAATAATAATTATTATTATTAATACAGAGAAGAGCAACAAAGATGATTAGGGGACTGGAGGCTAAAACATATAAGGAACGGTTGCTGGAATTGGGTATGTCTAGTTTAATGAAGAGAAGGACGAGGGGGGACATGATAGCAGTGTTCCAGTATCTCAGGGGCTGCCCCAAAGAAGAGGGAGTCAAGCTATTCTCCAAAGCGCCTGAAGGCAGGACAAGAAGCAAAGGATGGAAACTAATCAAGGAGAGAAGCAACCTAGAACTAAGGAGAAACTTCCTGACAGAACAATTAACCAATGGAACAACCTACCTCCAGAAGCGGTGAATGCTCCAACACTGGAAGTTTTTAAGAAGAGACTGGACAGCCATTTGTCCGAAATGGTATAGGGTTTCCTGCCGGAGCAGGGGGTTGGACTAGATGACCTCCAAGGTCCCTTCCAACTTTATTACTATTATTATGGGGGGGGGGGAATAAACTCATTCATGGACTTATAATTGCAAAATGTCTATGGAAATTCTCAGTCATCCAGGTCACAGTTATTCCAAAGATGCTTTTTTCACAAGGCAACTGGACTTTCTTGTTTTTCTTTGAAGAAAAATTGCTAAGTATATCAGAGTACTTTAAAGCAATGTAGCTCTACCATGCTTTTAATTGTGTGGAGTTCAATTCCCAAAATCTCTAGCCAGCATGCTGGCTGGAGAATGCTGGGAATTGTAGTCCACGTAATCTTTGCCAAAATTGAGAAACAGTAGCTGAAAGGATTAAACACAAAACTTTTTTTGGGGGGGGGGGGGAGAATAGGCTGTTTGCAGCTTCTTCCAGGGGGAGAACACAGCAGGAATTTCAACATGGACCCCAAGAACCACGAAAGAGAAGCCTGGTTGGGTCCATAATTTTCACAGGTACGAGGTCACTTATTTCATTTTACTTTAGCCTGTTTTGTACTCTTATTCCATGAATTGGGGCTTAACGCAACATCTGACTAAACCTCTAACTCCAAATTAAACCAGACCGATACGATCAACTTTAAAATAATAGGCAGTGGAAATCACTGGCAGATACACCCAGGAAAGATTCCCCAAAAGATTTATGTTTTTCCACTATACTTTCAGGATCTAAGGCAAGGGTGTCAAACTGCTGGCCCGCGGGCCGGTTGCATCATACGGAGGCCGCACCCATCCCAGATCCGGCAATACAAAAAAAGCTGCGATAGGTCACGACATGTCACGTAACTTGGCAAGTTTGACACCCGTGAACTAAGGATTAAAAGTTAGGTTAGCTAAACTCACTCTAGAACTAAAAGAAAAAGACGACTCGGAATTTTACGCGGTTTAGGAAAAATGGTATACATGGATAGACAGTAGAAATAAAAATTGGAAATATACATAAGGCTATTGTGAGTTAGATATTGAATGTATATAGCAGTGGTGGCGAACCTATGGCACGCGTGCCAGAGGCGGCACTCAAGAGCCCTCTCTGTGGCCATGCGCGCCATGCCCCGGAGATGGCAACCATCCCTCTTCAACCAGCCGCCCGCTAACTCGCCGAGGTCCCACATGGCCGGATGCATCCCAGCACGGTTGGTTTCCCCCCCCCCCCCCCCCGTTCCATCCCTCCTGGCCTCGCATGCTCTCCTTTTCCCGGGCACAACCCACTGCATCGCCTCCTCAGCTCTCAGCCGGCCGGCCAGCTCACAGGCTGCTTCTCTGAATGCTGGTGGCGGGCTGTGGAGCTGCTGACAGACACTGTCGGCCCCCATGCGCTCACTGGCCTCTGTGTGTGGGGGCTGATGGTGTCAGGCAGCAGCCACCCCAGCCTCGCCTTGCCTCGCCTTACCCCGCAGGACGAGCCTCCTGCCCACCGCCCCACCTGCCAGAGACCCCCTGGATCTCCCCCAACCCTGCCCGGTCCCCACAGGGGTCCCTCCCCACGATCAACATCAAGGTGACCACGCCCACCTTGGCCACACCCACCCAGCCTGCCATGACCACCACAGCCACGCCCACCCAGTGGGCCACGCCCACCTGGCACCCGGCGATAAATAAGTGGGTTTTGGGTTGCAGTTTGGGCACTCGGTCTCTAAAAGGTTCGCCATCACTGGTATATAGTATATATATTGTATAGAACGTTGATCCGAAGTATATAAAATGACACAGTCTGTTGAATATGTATTAGAGCTGCATAAAGCTCTACGCACGGTCACTCAAGCCCTCGTTGTTTCCCGCCTGGACTATTGCAACGCGCTCTACATGGGGCTCCCCTTGAGGTGCACCTGGAGGCTCCAGCTAGTTCAGAATGCGGCCGCGCGGGGGATCCTGGGGGCCTCTAGATACTCCCATGTAACACCTGTCCTGCGCGAGCTGCACTGGCTGCCTGTGGCCTTCCGGGTGCGCTTCAAGGTGTTAGTAACCACCTTTAAAGCGCTCCATGGCAATGGACCTAGGTATTTGCAAGACCGCCTCCTACCAAACACCTCCCTTCGACCAGTCCACTCCCACAGAGAGGGCCTCCTTAGGGTGCCGTCGGCCAGACAATGCCAGCTGGCGACCCCCAGGGGGAGAGCCTTCTCTGTGGCAGCTCCTGCCCTCTGGAATGACCTACCCTCCGACCTACGTACAGTTGCGGACCTGCGCCTTTTTCGTCGAGCCCTGAAGGCCCATCTATTCCATGCGGCCGGCCTGGCGTAGTTTGATTATGTTTTAGTGGGGGTTTTGTATGGGGTATTTTAGAGCAGGCCTGTTATTTAATTTGATTTTAGAACAGAAACTTGCGTATATTTATCGTGGTTTTTATTATCGCCTGTTCACCGCCCTGAGTCCCGTAAGGGAGATAGGGCGGTATATAAATTCAATAAATAATAATAATAA